GACTCGCCGATTATCTAAATGTCTCATTTTGTGGAGAAATCACCGACAAATATAACAGTCTCCAACAAAACAGATTCTTACGACAGACCAAGACAACCGCACAACAACCATAAAAGATTGTGTTGTCTTAAAAGAGGTGATATTTTTTACGTAATGCGACCAACAGTAAGGAACAAATATGTCGAACTTCTTGTAGAAAGAACCTGTGATTGTAAAAACAAAACAAGATAAAGATGCGGGACATGGCCTGTTCCAGCAGAAAAGCCAATCTAGGAGGCTATCTACTAAGGTAAGGGAACACTACGAGAAGTAAAAAATTATTCAAGTGTTTACCATTTTATATGAAATTGATACCGTGTATAAATAAAGCTTATGTATGTATGTATGTATGTATGTATGTATGTACCATGCCTTGCATTTTTTGACAAAACTTCACATGCTGTTTTTTTTTTTTTACATGAGTATTATGGTTAAGTATTTATTCATTATTATGCCTTATGACCTCTTATTTTTACCCAGGGCAAAATTCTCTATCCTCTGTGTTTATCGTTCCTTAAAAATATACAAATTAAACCTCTTATAACAGTTGAACTGCTTTCATTTCTTATAAAATTGATTATTTGCTTCTGCGCTATCTCCAAGAAGTCGTGTGGGGATAGTAATTGATTTACTCTCATATGACATTTGCCTTGTTTAACTTCTGGAGAGACTAATCATGGGCTAAGTCATAACCCCATATAATAAAGATATGCTGGTCGAACTGGCCCACTGAGTAACGCTTCTTCCTTCGGCTGAGGTTGTAAGTGCTTCAGAGAGCTATGCACATTACAGTTTGTTCATCTTGAAAAATGCACCTAAATGATCAAGTTAGTTACTTTATTTCTCCTCCCTTGGTCGTTGTAGATCTCCCCAAACCAATATTTTGAGGTTATTGCCTTACATTTTGGCTGAATTTAATATGTACATCGAAGAAAATCAACTTAAGATATAACTCAAATGTTTCTGTTCCTTTGTTAAGATTCACGTAATGATGGCTCTAAGGCGGTTATCCAAAATTTCGTCTAAAAAATCACTGAAGAAAATGGCAAACAGCATTCTGGTAAGTGTAAAAGTTTACAAGTTTAAAAGTTCACTCCTACACGAGTGAACGTTACTGAGAGGGAAGTTCTTGTTTTTCTGACCCAGAATCAACTTTGGCGGCGTGATGCATGCCTTTGGGTTACTACCGACGAGGAAGAAAATGCTTTTGCGAGTCAGTGTCTCAAAAAATATGTCATCTTTGATTTAAATCATGATTAAAAGTCGTAAGCTTGCCTGGAAAAACGTGGTTTTTAAATAACTGCTTCCTGTGAATGCCAATGCATTGATTAGTCCATAAATTTCGGGCTCTGTTCCACTTAATCAGATTGAAAACTAAAACCATTCGTGACTTCGCCGGTCAGCTTCATTCCCCATCCTCTCCAAAACGAAATACAGAAATTATTAGGTGGCTTCATTGAATGCAGCTCTTTTTTATTGCAGGAAAAGCAGGATGAGCCAGCCAAAATAGAGGATAGTCAAAATTTGCAATCGCCAGAGCCGTTACCTGTCAAGAAAGAGACCCCTAAAATATACTGGCCATGTGCTCCCGACGGCTTCATCCCAAACTCGGTTGTTCGCAAGTTCGTCAAAAGACATGAAAAAAGTGATGTGGAGGCGGAAGAGAAAAAAGATGAGGAGGGAGCCGAGGACCTTAAAACCTCCGGTGAGACATTATTAATGCTTAATTTGTCGATCGCATATTCTCTGCGTACCTTTAGCGGGAGTAGATGTGGTATGACGTATTTAGGAACTCTTAAAGCAATCACGAAGTTCGATCAAAAGAATAACCGCATATTGCGATGAAGCGAAGGGGAAAAAAAAGCAACAGAACATGAAACTGACAAACTACGAATTGTGTAATCTCTGATACTCTTTAGGGACCTGAATTAAATGACAGTGTGAGCAAGGGTAATTTTTCTCTGAACTTTTCTCCTGAAGACTTTTGGAACCTCTGGAAATCATTGCAAGAATCACTTGTCAAACAAAAAGAGATCGAAGAAAGCTATAAGAGGAAAAAAGAGGCAGGCAAGGCTAAAAGGCGGAAAGGATCCAAGTTAGGGCGTCGTTTAGATCCAAGGCCTCAAACAGGAACATCAACCAGGTATTCTCCGACATAATTAGCCCCAAACCAATGTAATGGGCAACTAAGCCTACTTATCTATCGCCTTTTCGTAAGTAACAATAGCGCATCATGATGGAAAGTAGTTTTCATGTTGTTCCTTTATCCTGACAACGTGCATAAGTCCTATCATGGCTAATCCAAGGATATACCGCGTTAAATTTTCATTCTATATGAAACGAGGAGTCAAAACCTACAGAATCATTGAAACCGTTACAACAAATGTCGTTCAGTTTTCCTCCTTAATTTTTGTTTTACGCTGCCAGTGAAGAGCCACTGACAGTTGTTGAGGAGGAGGACGAAGAGGAGGAAATCAAAGAGGAAGAAGATGAAGATGAGGACGAGGAACAGGAAGTAGTAGAACAGGAAGAATCCAACCAGAGTCCAGAGACGAGTCCAGAAAGCAATCCTGTGTGCTCACCTATGGAGATTCAAGAATCACCAGAAATTTTTGTTCAGGAGAGTGATGAAGAGGAAACTGACGTAGATGTATCCGGGTATCCTTCCAGCGAAACTGATAGCGTGGACAGCGTCACGAGGGTTAGGAATCGAATTGAAAAAACCCAGAATTTAGCGAAGAAATTTTTTTCTTATGCATTGATGCTGTCACATTATTCTGTTATTAAATGTAGTTTAAAGAGGTGATGAAAATTAGTGATTAGTGTCGTCTTAGCCCAATTATCAAGACGACGATGCAAATTCTGATTTACGTTTTTCTGTTTCGATATTTCGGTTTTACTCCATTCAACCCTTTATCCTACCTCGCTGTTTCCTTTGCTGATGATCTACCCACTCTTCCATTTTCCTAACCCTTTTTGTAAACGACATACCTTAGATTACTGTTAGAATTTCCCCAGCTTGAGACCACATCCAATACGCATTTGCTTTCTCGCATCCGAGGCAAGGATTGGTATCCAACGTTGCAGAAATGGACAAGTCCCACTGTAGATACAGTTTTAGACAACATGCTGAGCGCTCTGAAGAAAGAGAATCGTCTAAAGAACATTAAAGACATCTGTAAGGAATTTCAGAACATTGAGAGGTAAGGGCCAAAAGAACATGAAGACCTCTGTGGCCGCGACAAGATTTGAAAAGATCGCGTCGCCAATCGCTACAGACTTGCGGCCATCATTTGTCATCTATTAATGCAACATATTTTTTCCAAAGAGAGTTTGGAATTCCCGAGGAAAAGATGAACGAAATACAAAGACAGTTCATACGAATGACTTCTAATGAGGATCCATCGATCCGTCGGGCAGCAGTCTGGGCTCTAGGTCAATTAAACGTTCACCGCGATGATGCGTATCTTTCCTTAGTGCGCAGACTCGTAGATGATGACAGGGACACCCGAGAGGAGGCAACAAAAGTTCTTAAAGATCTCACAGGTATTTTAAGGAAGAAAACAAAATATCACTTACCATTAAAATGAAACATAAGAAGGCAACAGCTATGGACTAGTGTCTACTGTAGGTAATATTTTTTAACCGCGGATGTTCGAGTTATCTACTCTATAGTATTGGTGCTTCGAAAACCATTATTATTTGACAAATAATTCAAGATGTGGAACCCGGTAACGTTTTGCGCGTGGAGACTCTTCTGAAGCAGAGGTGTATTCCTTTTTTGGATTTAAACTTCGGGAAAGAGTTATGACTCTGGCTGGTTGCCATACCTTCGTATTTTATGATGTCTGATTTGGTAAAAGTATTTAAAAGAGACGCACAGAGAGAGCAAGGTTCTACCTTATCAAATTTTCCAGCTCGAATTTTCCAGCTCGAACTTTTCGGCGCTGATTCTAGCGCTATTACGTAATCATCTAGGCCACAGTGGCAAGGAGGTTCAACAGCAATGTGGTTATTCCGGTAACATATCTGGCAGTTTACGGAAGGAATCTTTCTTCCCATCCTCTGCAGATGTGGAAACTAAGGAAGGGCTTTGCCGCCTATTAATAAACACGGGGGTGGTTCATTTCCACCTGCCATGCAACGACAACGCCGTGTTGCTTGAACTGGCTGATAGACTGAAACTAGGCAAATACAGAAAAGAGGGAAACGTAACAGTTGTGGAGGAAGAGGACGAAAAAGCCTCCTCCTTCAGTGATCTTAGAACAACATTAAGGAGAAAACCCTTTAAGGCCAAATTCAAGCACCCAGAGACAATGGTATGTAAACTTCGCCTCATTAGTTGACATTGATAAGTTGTAGTCTGTCTGTTTTGAGCTGATTACATATTAGCCATTGACAAAGATAGAGAAACAACCGTAAAGAATTTTGAAAAGCTGAAGTACTGATTGTCAGCCTTTCGTCGAAGTTAAGTCTGACTCTATCTGTTTATTTGTGCGCCTGCAAAACAATTCTTTGGAAGGCCTATTTCAACTATAAATTACCAATACACGTAAAATAACCTTCAAGTGTTTGTCAATAGTGTATTATTCTATCATTGTTTAATCTATGCTAGGTATCGTCTGTTTTTGTGTGAATGAAAAAAAAAAAACTGTTTTAATTGCTTTACACTTCCCACAGAAATATCGACTAAGAGGCGCTCCTCCCAGGCGACACGGTATACTCGACAGATCACCGTCTTTAGAGGAAACAGACAAATTTAAGGCTATTTTAGCGGATTCGGCATTAGGATGCAAGTTGTTACAGAACATGGAGTCATTTAGACCAGACATCACGCACAGCCAAGCTCCGGAAAGAGCAAAAGATGTTGTGAAGAACTCATTGATTGGGGTAGGTGTCCTGTGCCGACCATGTTTCCAACGAACTTTAGATAGTGCCTAGTATTAGAATTAGGATAGAGGCGTTAGAGATCGTTTTGCTCGGTTTCCAAGTAAACCTCCCAATCGCTTGAACAGGAAACAAGGTGATGGCTTAACTTTTGTGCAGCAGTCCTGCTGTTTATTAGAGATACCTCTTTAAACTTGTTGGTCTAATTAGGATTTAAGATCGAAAGAAAACGTAAGGCACGATATCATAGAGAAACGAAATGGAATTATTTCTCGTCTCCGACCATGCCAATTCAATTCGAGTTACAATAGGCCTTTTGCATATATATGCTCGATCCTTCGCAGTAAAGCACTATTTGAGCAATAGTGAAAATCAGACCTGAAAAAAATTTCAGGCCTGTACGGGATTCGAACCACTGACCTCTGCGATACTAGTGCAGCGCTCTACCAATTGAGCTAACAAGCCAACTGGGAGCAAGCCATCAAATTAATTTGACATAAACCCGTAGATGATAAATCAAACAACAACAAACATATGAAACATATGTATGAACTGCGGTTATGAAACGTATATATGCACGATCCTTCGCAGTAAAGCACTATTTGAGCAATCGCAGTTCATACATATGTTTCATATGTTTGTTGTTGTTTAATTTATCATCTACGGGTTTATGTCGAATTAATTTGATGGCCTGCTCCCAGTTGGCTTGTTAGCTCAATTGGTAGAGCGCTGCACTAGTATCGCAGAGGTCAGTGGTTCGAATCTCGTACAGGCCTGAAATTTTTTTCAGGTCGGATTTTCACTATTGCTCAAATAGTGCTTTACTGCGAAGGATCGTGCATATATACGTTTCATAACCGCAGTTCATACATATGTTTCATAGGCCTTTTGCAGTTAGATATCACGTGCTTAGATACCGCATAGCAGCGCCATACTGGAGAGCAAGCACTCCAGTGATCTCAGAGAAAACAGAGATCACAGAGGTCTGCATTCAAACAAAGAATACAGCGGATAACAAGTTAAAGGGTATCCCAATTCGAGAAATCTTTTAAGTTTTAATCAACAGTTTCCTTGGAGTGTATCAGCGAAAAACGAATTTTGGTGGGATTTTGCTGCTGATACACTCCGGGGAAGCTGTTGATTACTTCTTACTGGATTTCTCGAATTGGGATACCTTTTGACCTGTTATCCGCTGTATTCTTTGTTTGAATGCAGACCTCTGTGACCTCTATACTGTGTCACTGGAGTGCTTGCTCTCCAGTATGGTGTTGCTATGCGGTATCTAAGCACGTGATCTCTAGCTGCAAAAGGCCTATTGAGACGCTGAAGATTATGTAAATTAAAAATAAAGGAAATGTGTAACATTCTATCGCCTATCGCTCGACACGAGCCAGCACGCTTGTCCTACGAAATGGGCGAAAGAACGGGCGAACGACAAGAGATCGTCGTGGTTGTCAAGGAAACTGTTGCAGAACGCAATGTTTTTCACTTTTTCTAAGAACCGCCATTTTTCACTCGCCAGCTACGTTACTCGTTCTCGCTTCGCTCGATAACCTGGCACAGGCGATGAACGGCTTCGTTCTTCCCTATGCTTATTTTACTTTCCTTTTTTACTCAAGAATTGAAAAAGATAAAGCCTTTGCTTGATGTACTCGGAGAACGTAGTTAATTACGCGTTGGTTCCACATATATTCGCTACTTCTGCTTGTAATATAACTTTAAATATTGGCTTGTTCGTTTTTTTTTTTTTTCTTCCAGGGGGCCAGTGTTTCTTCGCAGCAACCAGATCAAGAATCGCGCAAGGACGATGACGAAATGCAGAGAGGTATTGTTGAATTAAGTTTATTGAGTTCTGTTTGGTCCAATGCCATTGGAAGAGTTTATCACACCAACCATTCTTATAGATAAATTAATGAAGAGACTGTAAATACAAAGGATTACATAAATATTCCTAACGCAAAATGTAAATTAAAGGCTTGAATTCAACTTAATTTGATTGATTTTTCAATGCACTGGTTTGAATTGGCTCAGTCTAAATCACTTTTTCTCACTTTAGTCGGAGCCGTGCTTACTTTCTCTGTGACAAAAGAAACGTGAGTTTTATATGTTTGTACTATTCATTCTCAGATAAGGAAGGAAGTGATATTCTCGCTTCTACAAGCAAGCAATTCAGTCGTGGGGGAAAAATTACTCAGATCAGCATATTAGGTAAATCTGGAATTCAACTTTTCATACCAGCTGAATAAAGGCTTCGCTCCGGCGAAGGGCTAACGCTCGAAACGTCAGCTTTTGTAATCGTTACGGTGGCCAATTTACCATTTCAACTTTGTTGATATATCCAAATTTTCATAACAGCGTTTACTAGCTTCAGAGAGAGAAATCAGAAACGGTTGTTTTCGTCCTTTTGCTTCATGCGTTAATTGGGTTTTCAATCTTCTGACGTGAATTGGCGCACTCTGATATTCCTATCTTATTCTTAGATCATCATCATTATTAGAATTGTTATTATTTTCATTATTATTATTATTATTTTATCAAACAACAACAAACATATGAAACATATAACCGTCTCATAACCGCAGTTCACACATATGTTTCATATGTGACAACATATGAAGGATCGTTCTCATATACATTATTATTTTATGTTTGGCTGTATTTTTAGTCAGTGTCTTTTTCTTGGACGGGGGAAGGGAGAAAGGAAATTCCGCTTATTTGCTCTTTGACCTAAAAAAAGGCTTAGTTCGGATTCTGCCTTTTACACCCTTTTCTTATTTCAGATTGGTTCTCACCATTCTCAAAAGAAGGAGGAATTCATATTCCCGCTGCTACAAGCGGGAGATTCAGCGGAAGAGATACAATGAGTAAGAGTGGAATTAAATTTTTCATTTCAAAGCTTACACATTTCCAAAGCAAAACCGAGTAAGCATTATTCACATTTTTTTGCTTCAGTTGAGAAGCACATGGTCAGTTGCCCCTATTTCAGTGCCGGTAACCGCTTCAATAAGGACCTTAAGCAACCACGACGGCGACGGCAACGAGGACGTGGAAAAACAAGAGATCTAATTGGCAGAACAATAGCCCAGCACGTGCATTTTGAAACTTTGTACATTTCTTAGCCGTCCTATGCAAAACAACAACGTGAAATCGCCAAAATTTGCGTCGTCTGCGAACCGAAACCGCGACGGCAAATTATTTTAATTTCCATTTGGAACTCAACGCTGCTTTTATACGTCATGCTGAAGTTCAGCTGTGGCGTCGTATGAGACAGTAAGCTCCTGCAGCCATTTTTAAAATTCTAACTAAGAGTAGAAATTCATTTTTTAATCGAAGTCTTCCTTGGCGTTGCCGTCGTGACTGCTTAAGGTCCCTAATGTTGTCACGTTGTTGTTTTGCAGAAGACGGCTAAGAAATGTACAAAGCTTCAAAATGCACGTGCTGAGCTATTGTTCTGCCAATTAGATCTCTTGTTTTTCCACGTCCTCGTTGCCGTCGCCGCGGTGGTTTCTTAAGGTCCCTAGTATCATCTTTAGCTGTTTTGGCGCCCAATGAACGATTGGTATGCCTCTCATTGCCGACAAACATCATTACGTTTCCACGTGCGTATTTAGAACTATCAGTGTCTTTGAAAAATTAAAGTATGTACCCTGCACACTATATTTCTTTTGTTGTCTTTGCTAACCCCTGATACTCTGAAAAGCAAAGGATCTCACTTTCCAAGATGAATGGGAGAAAAAACTGCTCTAATTTCTCGGGAGTAACTGTTTTTTTGAGCTGGATCTGTAAATGAATAAAATTCCATAAGAGATCTTTTTTCCTGATTCCTCTTATTTTATGTTGTGCCTTTTGCTATCTTTCAATACACGGGAAAACCTTGCTTCTATTTAGTCCCAAACAAGGGAAACTTTAAAAGCTTTGAGGAAATCGCGAGAAAAAAACTTAAATAATACCTCTATGAGTCGAAATGACCCTTCTATCATGAAATATCACGAAGAGGAAAAACGGCCTCTATTGGTTTATTCAGTTATGTGTTTACTCATATTTCATACGTTCAATTTGGTTTTTTAACCTAACAGTGACAATAGGACGAAGCATACAAAAAGATCACAAAACACAGTGTAGAGCACCATCTCAGAGAATGAGTCACAGGACACAGAGTAAAACATCTTCCCGTGGATTGAGTCAGCGCACCACTGAATTGCAATCAAGAATGGAACCCAAGGATCAAAAAAGACAAACTCTTTTTCATCGGGAAGGCCATACACAATATTTAACTCTAACAGGGATCCTTACAGTAATTGGTAAGACCATGGGAGTAAATCAGTCGAGTGCTAAACTGCTTTTACTCAAGCTGAAGCGGACGAAACGGATCATAGCAAAACAGATTTCAATGGACGACAATACAATCCAATCATATTACAGTGTTGGTGACTTAGTGGAAACCTGTTGTAATTTGCCTCCATTGGTGGATACTCTGACGACTTTAGCACGCAAGGCGGCAAAGACTAAACAAGAAATGAGGGTGAGCATGCGAGGACTCTTCCACTCCGAACTGCTGAGCTTCACGCGGAAAGGAGACTATGTTGTCATCAATGGCCTTGGAAGGCTGCCTGCAGAATATCATGACGATCTACAAGAAACAAGGCTAGAGGTATTTGAGAAATTGAAAAAATGCTTAGAAAATGATGAGTTGTTTTCATCTAGTGAAGTCAAAATGGCCAAATCATTTACAAGTCTGCTTGAGCATTTACTGTGGTTTTGCGCTATCCTGGAGCCCGAGATAAAAGTGCTTGAAACAACTCACACATCTGGAATGGAAACATCGAGTCTAACTATGCATAAGACGATCTCGCAGACTCATGAGATAAGTTTTTCAAGAAAGGTGAGTTTCCATAACTCCATTGGGACACTGAAATTTACAACCAGTAGTTAAAGGCCAAATCGCAGTTATTGAGCCAAAGGGAATAAGAAAATCACGGTTAGATCTACTGTAAAAGTTTCGTTTGGTCGGTTGCTCTGCTCTTTTGTTGATCAAGATGACTCAAGGCCTAGAAGTATCAGTCATAATCGAGAAAATCAAACTTTCTGTATAGCAGCAGTGTAATATCACATTGTAAAGAACATCAGTTTCGACTGAGTATCTTGAAATCAAAACCAAACACTAAAGCGCGAGACAACCGAAGTGACCAATGAAAGTCGCAACTGGTTTTAGATTTGATTTTGAACGGTCGAGTCCGAATACTTTCAGAAAAGAAACTCTTTATGAGAAAAAAGAGTAACTTGATTTTTATTCATTAGAAAACGGACGAGCATGCTCAACCGATATTTGAACAGGCGTCACTTCATCTTCGTTTGGGTCCAGGCAATCACGGACAGCGACTGCTCAACTCCACACTGATAAGAGCCAAAGCATTGAGTGATTCAAAGCTTCGGACCTTAAAGGAAACGCAAGAGTTTGTAGTTATACCGCTTCCTCACAGGTTGTCTGTTCATACTGGTAAGTTGTCCTTTTTTGTAGTGTCATTTATCTAAATTCCGCTTCTAAGATTACTGGTTTTTATCGATTCTTAAATCTACCATTCAGAGAAGAGTTTCAACATCATGTTTGGTCGCAACATAAACAGGCACGACTATACAATTCGCTTTCTAAATCATTAACTATTCGGATTAAATTGTCTAAATATCATTGATAACAGTCACAGAGAAGTCCAAACGGTTTGCAAATAAACCCTTTTGGTAAATTTGTTGATGTTGTTCCTTTTAAAGGCTTTTTACGCTATCTCGGGTTTTTACTCTACAAACTACCACCCAGGCCTTCTTAGGTCAAAGAGACAACCTCGTTCCCTTAGCCTTTTCCTTCCCTTGGGGGTGGGGCACCCCCCTCCCCCTAATAAGGGAAAAGGCCAGGGTTGAGAAAGGCCATGGAATCGAGGTTAGTCAAAGATGCATTGAAGCCAAATGATTGATGTACTGAATAAAAGGTGCAAGAATGCCACAGCAATATTCTTTGTGCCCAAGACGCTAAAATGGGATATCCAATTAATTCGGAATCGGAAACTTGAGCAGAAAGTGATCTTTAACATTTTGTGTCATTGTCATCCATTTTCAGGGATGAAAAGGGAGGGAGAAAGTCATTTTGGAATAATGGAATTGACATGGCGGGCTGGAACACCGCTACCGTCCTCAAAAACTGAAGCCTGCCAAAAAGAAAGAGCTAGCAGTCTTTCTGAACTATCCGGTAAACCAGTGCAACTTGAGGAGCACTATCGGCTAAAAGAGAAAAAGCAGAAATCAAAATCCAAAATTCCAAAATCAAAAAGTGTCCCTCCACTTTCGCATTGTAAAGTGAAGCCGTTTGCTGAAAAGCAACTTACTTTATTCCAAGCTGTGAACAGTTTGAACAGTAAAAAACGTAAGGACTTCCTGGCAGGACTCATTGACTACATTAACAACAAAAATATCATCAAGAAAAAATTCCTGGATGAAAATGGAAACTTGTTACCTGAGAGTTTCACTGACGTCCCACAGCCTCTCCACACTGCCACTCCTTTTTCTGTCCTTATCTCTAGCTCTTCCACTATGAGAATGATCAATAACGGCGCAATGACGTCAATAAAATCGGGCGAAAGCTCTGGAAGGTGTTCGACATTTTACGATCAAGCGCGTGACTTAACACGTGATACTCTCTTGCGCGATCTTGATGAATTTCATCTTCCTCCCATTTGGAGATTAGGAGGACATCACCGAAGGCGCTGAATTTTTTTTTTACATGTAACGGGAGAGAAAAGAGCATCTCGTTGAATGTTATGATTTCAATAAAGGCAGCAAGAAAAATGGGAACATTCGTCAATGCCTGAATCTATGGGCGAAGTGTCATCCTTAAAGTGCGGAAATAGATTGCAAACCGTTGTCGGTTAGAAAAGAACCCGATATCACTAATTCCACCGGAACTGTAATTGTGTTATCCTCGTCAATTTCTCACACCTATGGTTTTAATTGATGGTTACCTCGTAGCCTCACTTTCGGGTAAGGCCTCTGCTTATTTGGCGGATAGATAGAAGGGTGACTTGCCTACGGCGGGCTACCCCCCTCTGAGCGAGCCAAATTCTCCTATATTTCCGTACAAAACTTGGCGAACCATTTACATGAAGAACAAAACGTTGGCTCGGCTAGGGTAATCCTTTTTCGATGGTAGGCTTACTCTTCTGGTCGCGTCAACTTTTGGCATCTAAACACTTTCGCTATCCCAGCCAGGTTCTCTCGGTCAAGGCGAGACAATCGGAGCATGCGCGAGCGCTGTCGCCATGGCTCGATCGATCAAGATCGGTAAAGAAGTAGTCTTGGGGCTCTTTTTATGTGGAGTCGATTATTGGCTGCATGCTTCAAGGGATAAAAAGGCCTGTGTGAGTTCAATGCCACCGACTTCAACGCCAACGTAATGAAATTACATGACACTAACTACTCTGGACCAGTCGAATTAACAGTCTCCGGAAAACCCGTGAAGGATATGTCGAAAGAAGAATATAAAGCCTATAAAACGATCCATGACAGGGAAGCAGAACTGAACAGAAAGGGTCACAACCGCAAAAATAAAAATCGATTAAATTGACTCGGCCAGCTCTTGGCTCGGGCTAAGGCAAAGGGACCAACTTTTTTCTAATATAAACACTCGCTAAAGTTGACACAGCTGGGAGGGTGATTTTCTGACTCAGGAAAACTTTTCTTCATATGAAGAGAGTTTCTTAGATGCCGGGCCAAAAAATTTCAAAATTTAAGAGCGTCCGTGACAAGGCCATTTCACCACGGTATTCAATTCGATGCATGTGCAAGTCAACTTGTGACGGCATTTGTTCACATGAAAGCTCTGGAAAACTTTTTGCTGTTGGCAAACATTGTACAAATAGCCCTGGAAGATTTTCATTAGCAGCGACGTTGGGGTCAATCTCTTTGCTTAGTTTCTTCTTTGTTGAAACTTTAAAGACCTCGTGCATAAAATTGAAACCTCAAAATGCAAACTATGTAAATTAAAGAGATGGTAAATAAATCTCATAACTGACCGTCCGCAAAAATTGACAGTGAGGTCGTTAGTTACGCCACTAGGAACCGACCGGGAATTATGAAACAAAGAAACGGGAACTTGAAGCGCTGCCTTTCATCAAATGCGGGTAATTATCTTAAGAATTGGCTCTCTTTTGTTTGGTTACTTTTTTATAGACTTAAATTAGTTTTATTGTTCGAAATGTCGGTATTGAGGCAAACATCAGGGGTATGACAATTACGGGATTTGTTGACAATTTGTCCATTGTATAAAGATATGCCGAGGGCCAAAACTGATTAAAGCTGTTAAAGCGAACCATCCATCGCTCCTGAGTTGAAGTGTTCGAAAAGCTGGTTCTGTCCTGGTGTACCGGTTCACAAGGGAATTACCATTGTTCTTTCTTTGTTTAGGAGTCATCGGTTAGCTATTGTGTATTGTTTGGTCTTTGGTATTGGCTCTTGTGAACCGGTACACGAGGACAGAACCGAAAAGCTTCTCTGGACTGTCCTACAAGTATCGAGTCATTTATCAGGTTATGAGCTTGACCTTGAATACTTTTAATTTAAAGGGTAAACTAAAGAAGTTTCGAGTAGATTTATTTGTTGTTACTGATCATGTGTGACATTCAAACTTCGTTCGGCATAACAGATCAGTAACCAACATTTCCTGTGTCAACTAAAGGTCATGTGCCTGATCGCATTCAAGTAAAGCATTGTTTTTGATGGCGGCAACAGGAGAGGCAATTCTGTTACAATAGCTGGCGTGTCGGACTTGTATGTATACGTGATCATGTAGCGATGACCCATCTTGTTTGCATAGACTCGTTGATCGAACATGACTCGTGAACCTCCACACGGATTTCCAGCGGCACAAGTTTTAGTGGAACTCGCGGTCAATCAGCCTTTTAGAACTGACGACAAAAACAACCGTGGCAGTTTACACGTCTGTTTTGATAAGAAGATAAAACAGACGGCCTTTAACAACTTTTTGTTGAGTCATACGCCTTACAGCTGTTCCCTAGGAAGACAGAAGGATTCCAGATCGAATACAAAACAAAGAGCAAAACCCAACAACAAAGATCGCCCTCCAGACACTTCTTCGGGATTCTGTCTTCCTAAGATACCTATTGCTTCTGAGGAGTTACTTACTGGACAGATGTTTTCATCAGAGGATAACTTGAGCAAACGAGTCAATAGATGTTTCATCGACTCTCACAACGAAGACGAAGAGCCTGTAGATTTTCTGTCATGTAAATCAATCTTAGAAAATCAAAAGTGCGAAACAAACAGTTCACGACTTTCAGTGAAATCCAAGGAGACAGGATTAACAAGTTTACCTCTAATCTCAAAGAAAGGGGATTGTTCTTCTTTTCGGAAAACTTGCGATAAATACAATGATTTGTTACATCAAGAAGAACTGTCGAATGTTCAGAATTACTACTCAAAGACCAAAAGCATCGCTAGTAATCGAAAGCGGAAAGATTTATCGCAGGACCAAGAAATTACTACGGTGATGGAAGATGGGGCTCGAATTACAGTTTATCAACGGAGACTTACTATTGAAGTTTTTATGCCAAGGACATCGTAATAATCAAATTAAAGGAACAACCAAAGATTTATGTCAAAATTTGATTAATCCATTTGAGTGAAATTCGTAAGAACGTGACTCAAGGAAAACAGAAAGCCAATTATATGCTAATTTATTTTCCGTGCCCAAAATGTAGCAAATTACCCGTGAAGTGAAAAACAATGACTCGCATATATTTTTTTAAAACAGGATGCATTTAACAGAAGTGGCGTTCAAGGGACAAACAGTAAATTATTTCAAAAAAACCTTTCATAAGCGAAATTTGATTCCAGTCATTTGAGCCTGTTATAACTGTACAAGGGAACAAAACGAAAAGCATCAGACAGTCTGAATAGCAATTCGATCTCTACAATGTCTCTATTTGACTACTAGGGTAAAAATGCTCACCAGTGGTCAGGAACCGGGTTGAAACTCGATATGCAGTTCTCCTGCAAGAGCACCTAAATTTTCAGGGAAAGTTTACCGATGTAATACCCCTCTAAAGTACCTGTCTACTTTTCTATTGATAAATTACCAATTTAGACAATTGGCACTGTATAAGTACTTTGCAGTATGCTTCTATTCTTTATTAAACCCCATCCTCGGAGACCCAGGGGCTGTGAGTCGATTTCAAGCTCTTCCGCCCTAACTTGAAATCGACTCACAGCCCCTTGGTCTCCGAGGATGATTAAACCCCTAATCAAACTATAAAACAGGACTTCGTCTTCAGAATAAGTTCATAGAGTACAGCAACTAACTCTGAGGCTAGTCTTGGTTTAAAGGTCAGCTCTAGGTGTTCCCTTCAATTTTTTTTCCTTGTCTTCTATTAGATTTTGTTTTTTACATTGCCCTAAGATCAGTGATTCTCCAAAAGAGTGATTCAGTTCAAATTTATTGTAGCTCCTAAAAAAATTGGATTTTCAATACACCTGCATACATTTGTACTGTGTATCTTAATGACTGAATGTAAGCTATGTTAATGAGGTGCAAAACTTTCACAATTATGTAACTATTCTTTCTGTGAAAATGTTGTTCCCAACATTAACTCGACTTCAAACTCGCTGAAACCACATGGTGACTAAAAACATCACCTGAACAAGAACAACTCAGTTTCATCATGACATTCAAAATTCAATCTAAAGTTTATGGTTTAAGAATAACTATCTCATGATGAGCAATATACACCAAATAAACAACAAATAACTGCTGTGATGACATTGCTCCTAAACAAATAAGAACAATGATAAATATTCAAGAACAGCTGAATTTGTAAGCTGCTTCATAGAAAACTCTTAAAAAAGACACTATTTTAAAGAGAGTAGACTCTATTTGTATGTACATATACTTAATAAAACATAACATAACAGCTGTACCATGAAGAAAATTTCAAACTGATTGTAATCTTTGTTTAAATTTTCCTTATTATTTGAAAACAGCATATTTACAGCTTGTGAATTTGTAAGAAGCTGCTCAAGTCAAACATGTGAGAGTTAGTCATCTGGTTCTTCAACAGTGTAACCTTCTTCTTGAACTCTTGGTTTGTTTGGATTGTTCACCACTAACCAATCTGCCAACCAAATCTGTCAACAAACAAATCAACCATCAACTCAAGTAAACAGTTTTCAGCTCAGCAGGTCACAAAAAGCCAATAAACTGAATAACATATGGAGAAGACTGTAAAAAGGGAAGGCTGTTTCTTTTTGCTCTCAACTTTAAGGATGAAAGGGAAAAAAGTGGATATTTGCATCCAAATAACACCAATAATTTTCAAGGTGGGAGCTAGTATTTCTCCCTTGTCCCATTCCCCCCTTTTGCAGCTGCTTCAGCCTTTCTGCAAGATTTTTTGTAACATTCAAAATGGATTTTTTACAGACTTAAAACAAAGCAATGTAGGTATATGGAAGATCTTACGATTGGGTCAGCAGGCTTCATCTTGCATAGCTCTGTGAGTCCTTTAAGTAAAGTTGGGGTTACAGTACTTGTGAGGTAGTCTTTTGCTGCTTGTCCGGTTGAAATTGGTTCTACAACACCTATGAGGTTTAACAGCCAGAAAATCAATTCAACACAGTAATCAAGGATGCTTAAAGAAGGGGAAAAAGTAGATATTTTTGAGAAGTTGTGGCTGTACATTGTTTAACAACTAATTTTCCATTCACTTACTATCAGGAAAGAAAAAGTGTATTTCCCTCTCTGCACTTGAATAGCTGTCACTTCCATGAAGAGCATTTTTGGTGCTGTCTGTACCATAGATGGCTCTCAAACTAAAAAAGGAAAAATTATGTTCTTATTATAAGCAAATTTGGCTTTTAAGTCTGTAAAGATTAATGTCTATGTCCCTTACAAAAAAGATGTAACAAAACAGTCATTATCATATACATTAGACTGAAGGAAAAAAGTTTCATGCCTTTCTTTTGCTAAATATTTCAGGACTGTCAAAGATAGGAGCAAGTATGTTCAGAAAAATAGACTTATTATTTTACAGAGTAAAAATCTCAAACAAAAACACTGATTATTTTCTGAGATTACTACATTTTAGCCTCCCATGCAGAAATCATTTTGGCTTGACATAAACAACAAACTGAAAAAAGTCTATAACTATGTAGAGAATTATTTCTTAAATTTCCCTTGTCAGCACTAAGAAGGAACCTAATCCACGACCTGTTATTCTCAGGAGTGAACTAAGAGAGATTTCTTCTTACAATACCAATACATTTTCAAGCACATTCTCAGAGCTTAGACCTTGAATTCCTGTGAGACAAAGCGAATTTCTCTTTAAAATATCAAATTAAAACAAAATCAACGAGACAAGTGATGAGAAAAGGAACATAGGGAACACGAGATACATTTTGCATGTTCAAAATGTTCCTAATCATTATGAAAGTGTGTTCACGTTTTTGTATCCTTCTAGGGACTCTAAAAGGATTGTACTTTGACCATTTAAAAACCAATCAATTCTTAAAAAATAGGAGCTTTGCATTAGGATTAAAATCTGGAAATAAATGGTATATTGAATAGTTTGTCACCTTTCTGGCGCCTGATCTCTTGCTTTTTGCGTATTTGTTGGTCCAATCAGCTGTCTCCAAAAAGCAATTGCAGATTGCCTTGCCAAGACAAGTGCTAAAATTGGTCCACTGCTCATATATGCCACAAGACTTGGGAAGAACATTTTACCATAGTGTTCGGCGTAGAAATCACTAGTCTGTTCAGGTGTCATATGCACTCTTCTTTTCTATTCGGTATCAAACATAGTTGCATTGGACACAGTACAACAATTGCGATAAATTAATTAAAAGGGTTTACTAATTTTTTACTGGATACAGTTTTGCTCGAAGGTAGTCATAGTGAAACTCAAGGTCTTATCACACATTACTTCAGGTTCGAAGAATATGAAACTCGCAAAGTAACAGTCACTGTGATACCCACTAACCTCTCACAATTTGCTAGAAAATAGAAAACATGGTTCATACATTAGTACCTGTAAAATGGTGAAACCATGTTGAAGTATAATTTCTTCGATTTCATCGCTCTTGTGAACAGCGTCTGGCTTAAATAACGCTAGCGTTCGCTCGATGTGTATTGCAGGAGCAGGAGGTATCACGGGCTTTTCACCGTCTGGCATATTTAGGTGTAAAAAATTGTGAAGTACGCGCTCTAGCTAAGCCTGCGAAGAAGCAAAACCAAAATGGCAGCGAAAGTTATCGTGCTGTCATGGTTACCAATCAAGCATGACACCGCTGACCTTGTGAATTCAAGAAGGCGCGCTAAATAATGAAGTCTTCCTGGGAAGACCCAGGCTGGGGAGGACCTAGGTTCATTTGTCACTCACCGTTGACGTGTGCGGGTCAAATTTAAATGCTGGTAGACGAACAAAAGGAGCTAATGAGATATCTATTGTTTACTTCCACCAGCATGGTGGCATGAGGTAACGTGCGAACCACCTACTTCGATCTCAAATTTACCGCCACAAATAAAGACAGTTTCCATTGGAGAAAGGAAATACAAATCTCAAAAATTCTTGTATTGTGATGAAGACATAAAACAATTTTGAGGAATGCGCCCGCTGTTCACTGTTTTGGAGTAGCTGTAGCTCAAGCTGACTTGACTCTAAGAGTTCTACATCACACGACGGTTGATTGACAAATGGTCCAGTGGGACCTAAGGCTCCTTTTACAGCGCGCCTTCGTGTTTAAGCCTTAGAAAAATCCAGAAATGCAAAAACAACTTACCCTTGATTATCCAAGAATTCGGCCCAATCGTCGTGTACTAAAACTAATTGAGAAATAGTAGACCTCCCTCTCAGAAAGTCATGATGGGAATCATGCAAATATTGAAGCACCGGGTCATATATAACAGTATGAATTATCCTTTCTTGACACGTCCCAACAACAGATAGGAATCAAATCCCCGTGTACCAAATCATAGGATTTGGAAAAGACTGAATGGAAAGGGAAATTAAATAAATTTGCTTGCTCAGATGGTTTTCTAGTACTGACTCCCTCATAAAAAACCGACTCAGGTAGTCTCCTAGATTTGGTTTTGATGGAGTGAAACGACCAAAAACGCTTAGGATTATCCTTAATCCCAATGGTGATTCGGACAATTTAACAAGATATTCGCGATAATTACTCCCTTTAAGTTTCTTAGTTTCGGATCTAAGTTGTTTAAATCTCCCACGAAGTTGGATTGAGGGCTCAGATTTTTACCTACCCCACAACTTTCTCTTCTTTTTTACCAACCTAAGTATTATCCATGGAGGATTTAGCTTCTTTTTAACTACAAACTTAGGAGTCACAGCAGCTGCCAAAATCAAGTCAGTGACGTTAACAGCAGCAGAGTTCACATCATCTTCCAAAAAGGCACAGTTCCCTGGTATCCAGTGAAAGAGCTTATTCAGATCTTCAAGATTCGCTTTCTAAAAAGCATAAACTTTTCTTGGAGAAGATTTACAAGAACGACCACGTTGCAACTTAATGTCAAACAACACAGGATGATGGTCAGATACAAAACCATCATGGATCACTTGAATATTCGATATCAATCTTGGAGAAGTTGTCAATATCAGGTCCAAAATATTGGCTGTGCCATTAACAGTCCGAGTAGGAGCAAAATTGCTTTGAGACAAAAAATGGTCATTCACAATTGAACAGAAGTGAGTCTAAAGTAAGAGGATCACTCAATGTTGGTGAGACTGTGTCAGTCAATGTTCGGAAAGTTGAAATCACCAGCCAATATCACTGAGGAAAACCGAGTCCTGCTGATCTTGTTAAGGCAATTTCGAAAGGAAAGAGATAAATCCATATTAGCACCGGTTGGACGATAAACAACTCCAAACGACACACTATCCCTCGTCTTTTGTTGAATCTCGCTGAATAGAGTTCCCAAAGAATCTAGTTTTAGATCCATCCTTCGAATGGAGACCAAATTAATACTTATGCAGTACTGCCAGAAGAACACCTCCACCCCTATATATTCGTCCATGTCATCCTATGTGCAGCGGTAATTACCACTTGTAGAATTTAAATCATAAGGAAAATTTGAATTTTTACAATTTACTTTTCTTGAACACATAAGTAAACGCACAATTTGATTTGTTTTTTGCCACTGCTGCATCCTTCAAATGCCAAAGATTCAGCCGGTTTAAGGCAATCATTGGGGACCTTAAAGTGCACCTAAACCCAAAAATTTTTTTTCGCTTAACGAAATAAGCTTATTATTTGGAGTATTTCTGTGCAAAAATTTTTTAATTTGCTGAAATCTTTAATTTTCTGTGCCCAGTCAAAATACGGAAAATCGGCCGCCATCTTGCCCCACGACCGAGTTTAAAGAGAAATGGCTCTAGCGGGCAATGTCACATCAAATCGAGAACACGAAAGTCTGCATTTCACACATTGTCACTTGTTTGGGAAGGTTGTCGACGATATTAGAGACCATAAGAAACCGCGACGGCGACGGCAACGAGGACGTAGAAAAACAAGAGATCTAATTGGCAGAACAATAGCTCAGCAGGTGCGTTTTGAAACTTTGTACATTTCTTAGCCGTCCTATGCAAAACAACAACCTGAAATCGCCAAAATTTGCGTCGTCTGCGAACCGAAACCGCGATGGCAGATTATTTTAATTTTCATTTGGAACTCAACGGCTACTTTACACGTCATGCTAAAGTTAAGCTGTGGCGCTGTATGAGACAGTAAGTTCCCGCAGCCATTTTTGAAATCCTAACTAAGAGTAGAAATTCATTTTTTAATCGAAATCTTCCTTGGCGTCGCCGTCGCCGTTTCTTAAAGTCCCTATTGTCCGAAATATGCCGACTAGGTGTGTTATATGAGGAATGTATGAAGCGCGATACTCTCTTGCAAATTTCGCACGTTGCTACATCCTTCTACAACACACTTAGTCGGCATATTTTCGGACAATATTGACTACAACCTTCCCTAACAAGTAAAAATGTGTGAAATGCAGACTTTCGTGTTCTCGATTTGACGTCACATTACCCGCTAGAGCCATTCCTCTTTAAACTCGGTCGTGGGGCAAGATGGCGGCCGATTTTCCGTATTTTGACTGGGCACAGAAAATTGAAGATTTGAGCAAAAAAAAATTTTTTGCACAGAAATACTCCAAAGGATACGCTTATTTCGTTTAGCGATAAAAAATTTTTTGGGTTTAGGTGCACTTTAAGCAACCACGACGACGACGGCAACGAGGACGTGGAAAAACAAGAGATCTAATTTGCAGAACAATAGCTCAGCACGTACGTTTTGAAACTTTGTACATTTCCTAGCTGTCCTATGCAAAACAACAACATGAAATCGCCAGAATTTGCGTCGTCTGCGAACCGAAACCGCGACAGCAAATTATTTTAATTTCTATTTGGAACTCAACGCTACTTTTATACGTCATGCTGAATTTGAGCTGTGGCGCCGTATGAGGCAGTAAGCTCCTGCAGCCATTTTTGAAATTCTAACCAAGAGTAGAAATTCATTTTTTAATCGAAGTCTTCCTTGGCGTTGCCGTCCTGACTGCTTAAGGTCCCTATTCCTGCATATCCCTTCCTTCGACGCTCAAAATATTCGTGTGACAGTTTTAGACGACGCAAAAGAAAATGAAGAGGAACTCAGTGACTTGAAGATCATCATGTTGTTTCTGAGCATGCTTATAATAGTTCATTTGTTCAGTCAAGCTGGCATGATGTGAAAGAGTTTGTTTTCGTGCGAATAATGGCGCCTGACATTCAACTGCATTTCCATGGGATGGATTAATGAGCCTTAACCCTTACAAAAGAAACAAAACAAAAACCATCAACACTTTGTTCTTTTTAAATCTGGAGGGAAAATAAGTCTTTACCGGGAAGATTATATCAAGAGCGTTGTTCAAACCTTTCCATTTCATTTACACCAAAAACAGTAGGAAAGCTCTAACTGAGGCCGGCATTATCGGTGTGTTTCTCAGTCGCCGTTGACATTTCTGGCTCGAAAATGAACTATATTGAGATCACTTTCAAATCTTGTCACGCGGCAATCGCCTAATTATTCCAATCAGTACTATCACATCCAAAGATTGGTTAGTTAAAACAATTATGACGTCAGTACATTGACTCCTAATTACGTTTTGCGTTCGACATCGCGAGCACCAACTGGAGTTTGCGACTGTGAGAATCGATTGAACAGCGACAGACAGAAAGGTTGGGTTGGATTTGCCGGGTAACGTTTTTTTTTTGGATCTGATTGAATTGACACCCTTTGGTGCAGGGCATAATGCCTAATACTGGACAGTTATTTGGACAAAGCTCGAAGTGCGAAGAATGCCGAAAGGACTTCAAAGCTGTCTGGTTGCCAACCAAAGTTTGTTGTCGGGTCGCTTTATGGAATCAACAGCCCGGTATTCTCACACAAGCTCCTCACTCGCGGTACATTTCTAACGATCTGAAAGAAGCAGCTTCAAAATATTTCACCAGTTCAATCACCGAGATCTCGACAAAGGCAGGCAACGGACGAAACTCGCAAAAAAAAACTGGTATTCCAGTTCAAAAACTGGCCGAGCTCTGGACAAAACAAGTAAACAGGTTAGCGCCTTTCAGTACAAGTGGTAAAAGCACATGCGGATATTACTTTTCAAGAGATACAGATAACAAAAAGCGAAAAACGGGGATTCCTCCATCAGATCTGGTGGCATGGCGATCTAACAACTCTTGAAGTGAGTGAAGTGAAGCTAGCGCGGACTAATTAATCACACGTCGTTACTGAAGTTTTAATCTGAAAACGGAGACGTAGATGCTGTAAATGTGTGCGCGAAACATGAGTCAAGAATGTTACATTAATCTTAAGTTGCTGTCGTTGTGAGTCGTCTTTGTCAATGTGAGGGATGGTGTAAAGCCACGTTTCTGATTGCGGAGCCGGATGACGTAAATCATTGGCACATCAGTGACTATAAGATTGTTGGTAACTTACCAACTGGTGTTGTTTCTCAACGTAATTAAGCGCGGTTTGATACCGTAGTGCGGTTAATTACGCGTGAATTAACTTGTGTTAAGGGTAGCGAAAAGTCCAACTATCTGTATGCCATCACCCATCGTACGTATTGCACTGTAGCAACGACAGAAATAAAGTCAAAATGTTGAGATAGGCGGGAAAAATATCTCTACCATTACCAATTTGGAGAGGATCATAAAGCAACCTTCCCTGATACACGTTTTTCACTCTTATTGTTCGTTCCGACGCAGTAAAATTATGACACCGATATCAAAAGAGTTAGTCATCATTTTATTTCAATATTAAAGGAAAAGGTTATGGTTAATTATGCAACCAGGCTAGTTGTTACATGTTTACTTTCCCCAACTTGCGTTTTGTCATTTTTTTTTTTTTTTAATCTAATAAAGATACTGCCCAAATGCGCTAGGACAGAAACATTGACAAGCAACAAATATCTCACTTTCCATTATAAGCCAATATTGGATATCACAGTTAACAGCTTTCAGCTTTTGAACAATTGTTTGGCAAGAGGGTTTAAGCATAAAAAACGACTCATTACATTTTTTTTTTCCACTAAGGGTAGGTAAAACCATGAACTTTTCAAGTAATATTGAAGCAGGTCGAGACATGGCAAAGGAAACATACTGGAATTAATTTTAAAACAAATATAGAAAGGCAACTGCATTTTGGGTGTGATTGGTCAATTATAGAGAACAACGTAGCAACAGTAATCCATACTCAAACAAATAAAAATCAGTCGTCACTCCTATGTACAACAGTTCCATTCAAAGTTCTTAACAAAAGTTACACGCTCTTTCAATAGTGTTACTAGTTTCAAGACTACAAGAAATATTAAACCATGTGGATATCAAAGAGGCACATTCCACATGGAGTTACTACTACTACAAAAACGTTCTTGATCACAGAGCTCAGTGATGCATAGCCAAGGCACTCATCAGCTGGCTTCTGTATTCATGAGAAGGGTAATATTGTCTCCCTTCAACAATATCCTTCCTTAAAATGGAGGCAAGACCGAAAAAAGCGAATTAAAACAGATTTCCCTATTTCAAGGTTGTGCTCTAAGGAAAATTGAATGGAGCCCAGTGCTCTGAAACTGTGAAATCCTGGGTGCCCAGCATATGCTTTGTATGAAAAAACTAAAATTCCTGAGTCGCGCAAGAGCAAAAATAAGGCGCCAGGGGCCACCGGGCACTGCTAGACCACAGCCTTGTTCACCAGAAGGGAATTAGTCAGATTCTTTGGAGGGCCATCAAAATTTATAAGGGGAGGGGGGGGGGTGGTGGAATTCAAAGGGGAAAGGGGTCAGTGAGCTAGTGCACAATTAAGAAACAGTTCACTTTCAAGCAATGGAAGGAATAAAACCAGGAAAACCAAAACCACTTTGATTTAACTTTAAAAGGTAAATTGTTCACTGACCAATCCCAAAAAAGTTAAGGATACATGAGCCAACATAGAAAGCCCTAACCTTAAAACCTATTGTATACTATTTGAGGTTGAAATTTTTCTTTGAAACACAACATTTGTGGCATTTTATGGTAACTCAATTTTAAAAGCATTTCAAGAAACAAAGTTATTACCAAGTGGTCTCCTTTTCTTGGTCTTGAGATGTACTTCTTCTGCATCATCCAAAACAAGATTCATGTACTCATCAAAACCCTGTAAAAAGATTTCAAAGTATAACCAATTCCTTTTCTTTTAAGAACTCCTCTGCATTCACAATGACAAAATACCAATCAGTTTCTTTTAATTTCAGTTCACTAAAATGGTTACAAGTTTCTTACACAAAAAAGAAAAACATTCACAGTATATTGATTAGAAGTAGTCAAACAAAGAAATTGAAAAAAAAAAAGAAACCATTAGATTTCCAAAGAGAGCCTTGCTTCTACAATGTTGCAGATAAAACACTCAAAAAATTAGTTTGGTTCATTACAAAACAGAAGATCTTTTAAACAGCAACTAGGTATAATTAAGATTGTTTTTATACCTTTTTTTTTTTAATATAATACAAGCATCATGCAAAAATTATATATTTTGTGTAGAATCAAGTACGGAAATGTGTTAATTGGATACGTACAATGATATGGCCCTCAATCCTCATGTTCACTTGCTCATACAGCCAAATCTGAATTCGTGATCTCTGATAAATAACAGGAAACATGTAATAAACATCAAATACAATTCAATAAATAAAAAAAGATTACGGTTCAAATGACCATCAATACTCTAAACGTAGAAAGGATTTTAGCGTTTTAAAAGGCACTATGCAAAAATCTTTTTTTTAAGTACAACCACGTCATGAGTACATACAAATACAAAACACAAACAAATGATACTTACATTTTGCAAATACCTAAATATCAAGTTCTGATAGGTAGAAAGTTAAGAAAAATACCAAGAAATTCATACTTGAAATTTGAGAAAGCTAATTACATGTATTTTGCCAGAATAAAGGTCTTGCACATGTTAATTGATATTCTTACAGAGTGTACAGGGAAAACAAAGGACAAAGGTAACAACTTTATTTCCTCTTACCATAAACTAGTAAAATATCCAGACAATACTGGTAACTTACATTAATCACAGTTTAGAGAATGTGTACAATAGACTGCAGAATAAATCATGGTAAAAACTAAATGCATTTCATTCTGTTCCCTCACTAATTTCAAAAGGTAAGGTCAAGAAAATGTACAATAAGCCAAGGACCCACAAGACCCTCAGCTTATCTCTGTTTCCAGTGCATATCTATCCGGGATTAAGATTCTTCCCTGCATGGGATTCTAACCCATTACCAGTTAACCCCCAACAATTCACCCAGGTTCTTTGAAAATATACTGGTAAAGTGTGAAAGTTTCTAAAGAGATTGTGCTGTTGCATCAGTGGGACTAACAAGGTCATTTTGGTTTTGTAAAGAAATTATAAGAAAAATGGTAAGTTTTTGAGCTTGGAAAAGAAATATAGAAAGATGCGATGCATGTCAAATATGAACTTGGAAATGGGCCTTGCTCACTATAGAGTCTCTGTGGATCTGTGGTAGAGCATTACAGCACAGAGTCCAAAGGTCTGAGGTTTGATTCCTCGTGGGGAATCAGCATTTTTCATTGTCCCACACTCATGACTAGATGAAAAACATCTTTTTATGTAATTTTGGTTTTATCAATGGAGTTGATCATGTAAATTGGCCATCGTTAAGAGTTTCAAAGCTGACTTTCTGGCATCGTTTTTCGAGTTTCATTATGTCACTGCTCTGATGAAGGGCTACATTTGAATGTCAGCTTTGAAACTCTTTACAGTGGCCACATTTACGTTATCAACTCAGTTTATAAAACCAAACTTACCATATTTACTGGTAGCCTACTAATACAATTTATCACATGGAGGACAAGTTCTTTGACCAAATATGAAAATCGTATGTGAACTACATGTAGATACTCTATTACATGTTAGAGATACTGAGCAAAGATAGGCATTGCAAGAGTCACCTCTCTTGCCCACGAACAGGGCTCACTGCAGAGCAACTGCACACTACAGGGCCACTGCGGTCCACCTTGTCTGTATGCTTCAAAGGACAAGGCAGAACACAAAAGGATGTATAGTTATTAAATAAAATTGAAATAAGTGGCCCTGCATTCTGTAGTTTTACCCTCAATGACCCAGAGCAACTAGCCCAGACATCTCAATTGGAGGTTCAGTATACTTAACGTTGGTTCATAGGATTTCCCACCACAAGTTTATACCGACCCAATCATGCTCCGAGTGAGTAATTATTCAATCACTAGTAGGTGCTTACGTTCTGATCACAACTGTTGTACTGATGAACTCATAGCATAGTTGACATGGACATGGGTATCGATATCAACCAAACAAACACGTTAAATTCTACAGCCTTTGCAGCGATATAGAAATAATGGATAATCAACCAACAATGGCAAGTCGTCAAAAGCCAGTAAACCTGTGTTATCCCACATCAACGACAATACTGAATCAGCCTCAACCGACGACACCTCACAGTGTACTACGTGCCTTCGTTGCTTAAACAGTGAAAGCAGATCATATAATATACGTCCTGTTTCATTCATGTAATTATAAGGCGCTAAGGATTAAATAGTCCATAGATCTTGGCAATACTGCTCGAGACAGACATAAAGCTTCTTTATGTCAAATGGGAGCACGTGTTCCGATCTTTCGCCAGTTCAACACTTCACATAATCAATACTGAAAGATTTTGCTTAAATATATAAAGGATACAATAGGTTGTACCATGACTTTTTGCACTTTCTGTCCTTTATACGCCATTTTGGATCGTTTCGGTGGGGAAAATACTCAAACAGATTGCCGCAAAGTAACTTAAGATGGCGGAAAACGTGACTGCAAAGAGCTCTGGGAGAACGTTGAGAAACGTCTCTCCTCGTCACCAGGCATCTCGGTCTTTTTCTTTCAAGATGGCGACCGGCGCTGAGCAACCTGTCTATATTTTTCTATGATTTTTCCATGTGTTTGAAATTCGTCGAAGAGTGGTCTTCTCTTCTAATGAACTGAGAATGACTAAAGCAACGGATAAATTGCAGTACTGTGTGGATTTGGTGGCGAAACTGGACGATTTTAGACAACAGAAAGTGCTGTGCGATATCACTCTCGTCACAGCTGAGAGAACCTTTCTTGCTCACCGAAACGTCCTTGCTGCTGGCTGTCCTTACTTTTATAAACTTTTCACAAGTGATATGAAGGAAAAAGGAACTGATTATGTAGATTTATCGCAGATGAAAGTCACAGCAAACGCACTAGAACCGTTGCTAACTTACTTCTATGCTGGCACCATTGAAGTCACGCAATCCAATGCTGAGGAACTTTTCATTACAGCTGATTACTTACTTATCCCAGAGGTGAAGTTGGGAGCATCTGCAAGGTTAGTTGCTAACGTCAATGTGTCCAATTGTTTATATTACTTTGACTTAGCTGAACGTTATAACTGCACAAAACTCTCTCAAGCGTGCCGTGTGTTTATTGACAAACATTTTCAAGAAGTCACGCAATCTCAGGATTTCCTTAAACTTGATATCGAACAGATCACACATATGATTTCTAGTGATGATATTTGTGTTGAAAACGAAGAAGCAGTGTACGAGAGCCTCATAACTTGGATTAGTTACCATCAAAGTGAACGAGAAGTTTATTTTCCTAAATTACTGACATGCATTCGATTTGGCTCAATGTCACATGAGTACCTTCAGTCGCAAGTAGTCACAAATTCACTTGTTCAAGGTGACTCTTCTTGTGTAAAACTAGTTGAGAATGCCATGAAGAGAAATCATTCATCTGGTTGTGTGTCACTTCAAAATCCAAGAAAATGTCTTCAGCCAGAAATTGATGTTGTTGTTGCCATTAGTGGTTTAATAAGAAGCAGCGACACTCAATCAACTTCAGTCCGCTGTTATGTACCAGAAGAAGACAACTGGTTTGAAATGAAACATTTTCCAAACCAGATTAACTGGCATGGATTTGCTGAATATAAATCAGAGCTGTATACAGTTGGAGGAGAAAGAAATGGCATAGTGTCAAAAGCTCTAGAAAAGTTTGATTTAAAGACAAACAGATGGGAAACTATGTCCTCAATGTTAAAAGAAGTTTTATTTCCAGCAGTTGCATTCTTAGGAAACTGTCTCTATGTTATTGGTGCTTCCAGGGGCCACAGAGGAACACTGCAAATTTACATCCCTTCCATGAACATCTGGACTCTGGGAACAGACTTAAATGTTCCACGTGAAGTCACTTGTGCCATAGGTGATGGGCAGTTCCTGTATGCTATTGGTGGGATGAGAGCTGGGAATGGTGAATATCTGAACTCTGCAGAGAAGTATGACCCAGAACTGGACATCTGGACAGATATTTCCCCTATGACCCACCCGAGGGGTGGAACATGTGCTGTGTCATACAAATCATCAATTTTTGTGATGGGTGGGGAATGTACTGTGCGTGTTGCTCTTTCAACTTGTGAAGTTTACTCCACAACATCTGACCAATGGCAATCTATTGCTCCAATGCATGTCCCAAGGTATTTTGCAGGAGCTGCCATTGTAGGAAAGAAAATTTATGTCTTTGGAGGTGTGGGTGGATCCAATGTAGATTTAGAAAAAAGAAAAATGATTGACAGGTATGATATTGAACAGGATGTGTGGAATACAGACATCACTATTCCATGGGAAGCAAAATATTTGCGATGCTGCTCCTTTTGTGTTAAAAGGGACTTTTTGCAAGATTTGCAGATGGTTACCGATTGAGCTGACAAGGATTGATTTAAAAAAAAAAACTGAGGTCTCAAGATACTTTTAACATTTTGGAGAGTAGGGCTCCCTTAATGCAGTTGTAAAACTTCCACTGAAAGTTGCTATGATCATTGAAATTTTATTGTTGTTCTCAATTGATGAATTTCTTTAGAGACCATCTACGTCCAGCTTAAAACTTGTCTTGCTGCAATGTTTTTTCTTATTCTTATCATGATCCACAAAAGCTTTTTCTGATTGAGTTTTCAATTAGGCAGAATAAGTGAGTCTGAAGTTTACAATGAGACCTGATAGTAAGAGCAGTTTTTAATTGAGCTTTAAAAATAATATGACCTTGCATTGGTTTTACTTTACCAGACTGTTTATGTTCAGAAAACCTCAATCATACCCACAGCCCAATATCAATTTCTTGCCACATGACCAAAAACAATTTTAACATTAGTAACCCCAAGAAAAAAGGACCCAACTATTTTTAAATGAGTCTGCAGAGATCAAATGTGTAGAAAAGATCACATGGGAGAGAATTTTAAAGTATTCATGCATTTATAAGCATTATGATCAGTAAGAGTATTATTAATATTATTAGGTAAAAGGTAAAGTCTGTTTATGAGCCCAGTGGCCCATTAGGGCGGTGCTTAACTCCGGTTTCTGTAGCATGAAGTGACTAGGAGTATTTCTACTCCCCCCTGGATGGGATGCCAGTCCATCGCAGGGTTACCCCCAGCATTAAATTGCCAATACCCATTTATACACCTGGGTGAAGAGAGGCACTGTGAGAGTAAAGTGTCTTGCCTAAGAACACAACACAATGTCCCGGCCGGGGCTCGAACCCGGACCACTTGATCCGGAGTCAAGCGCACCAACCATGAGGCCACCACGCCTCCACTATTAATATTATTATTACTGTATAGTTATTACTTTTACCATCATTAGTATTACTGCTCACATTATTGTATTTGTTTAGCTCACATAACCAGTAAATTATTGGTTTAGGACTGGTGTATCTTTCTTGAGAAGATACCTCTGGATTTAGTTGGCAATAGTTTAATTTGTGCTAATGAAATTTATTTATCCATAGAACTGTTCCAGGTCTTATCATCTAATTAACTGGTAAATTTATGAAAGCTCTATCCTCAGATTTATCAGCATCCAAGAGTAGTTAGCAAACAAAAAAAGAAAAATCAAATTCTTACCACAATTGTCAGTGATGTTGCAATCTGATTGGCCAATTTGACATTGTCAGTAAGAGTACAGACAAAGAAAGCTGCTTGCGTTAATGTGTCTCGCAACATGTCACACACTGAAATAATCATTTTATTTGACATTGATATTTTTGTAAAAAACAAATCAACGGTGGTTTTGCAGGGTCTGTATTCTTATGAACAGCGATAATTGTCATCACAGTGGTCAAAATTTGTTGAGATCTCACTTGGCAGCTCCTCCTGAGTCCACAACATTTTGACCACTTAAAAGTGTTCTCTTACACCAAAAAACTCTTCTCTAACTCCTGATTTCTTATTTTTAACGATCCCCTTTAAATGCATTTCCTCTAGCCCTTTGACCACTTAAGAGTGACCAAAATCTAATTTCTCCTAACATAATATCACCCGTGAATCACACATTAAGGTCAAGAGTGTACCCGAAATGATCAACAACTAAAGAAGCTCTTGATCGTTTGCTAAATTCTTCTTGTCAGCACCTTAGGAAAAGTATAGAGAACAGTATGGAGAATATGCATAATGATGTTTGGGGGTAAAGGGTGTTTCCTCATGGTACTCTGCAATACAGTTTTTTATAATACACACTTTATTAAACAAAACTAAAACTTACTCCGAGCTACACTAAACTTCAAATGAATGCATCTTAATCTGCATACATGAATACCACAAAATAATTATTCCTGGCGACTCAGTTAATATATTGTACAATACAAGTTCATAAGGGGTATATTCTTTGTGCGGATTCCACATTTTGGTTTTAATTGTAAGAAAGGGTTGACACGAGTCGAAAGGATCTGGTGTTGTTAATTTCACTTGAGAGAACATCCTCTTACTGACCAGTTTATATATTCTGAATAATGACCCGATTGCTCAGTAATGCATCAAAATTGTGACAAGTGCATGACTTGTGGGAGTTCATCACTTGAAGAGTTGAGAGAGGTTGTCACGAAAAATCAAACATTCACCGGCAACAATCAAAAAAAATCGAATTGGCTCTTATTCTACTATTAGGTAGGCCTATAGGTAAAACAAGCCAAGACATATAGTTTGTTGAAAAATTCTTTTACTTTCGAGAAAATTTGTTGTTCATTTGAATCTCTTGTTGTGGATGATTGGGGCTACAATCCAAAAGACAGAAAAGGGGAAAGGCGAATACGGTACCTTTGCTGTCGTGTGACAAGGAAACAGCAGAGCATTTGGCTGACTACACTTTGCTGAGTACACTTTGCTTGAAGCTCTTTGTGAGTGTTCTAACTAGGATGCAAATCACTGGTCTAAAATGCGACAAGTGCTGTCCCTTATGGTAGATAAAAAAAGTTTCAATGCCGGATCTGAAAAATGGATACCAGACCTGACACGCTACAGATTTAACATCGCTCGACATCACAGACTACTCCATGGTACGCCTGGAAATATTTACTGGCACTCTGCATTTAGTATTTTTCCCTCGAGTCCAGCCAAGACCGAGTCTTGAGCGATGAAGTGGGCATATTTTCCAAATATCAACATTGTTGGGTCGTTCGAAAACAGCTGCTGTACTCAATGTCAAGTCGTATTGGGTGAACACACTAGTGAATGAAAAATGAGCCAAATGCCCAGCTGTTTCCTTGTCACACGACAGAAAGGGTGCTCTTCGCCTATCCCCTTTTCTATCTTTAGGATTGTAGCCCCAATCATCCACAACAAGAAATTCAAATGAACAACAAATTTCCATTCTTCAAAATGTTTAAACTCAGTTGTTTACTAGTTGCGCACTAAGTTTATCAGATGAAATTAAGTTACGTTTTATTGCAAATTGCCTATAAGTAGTAACAAGTCCAAAAGAATACGAATTTTTGTCTGAACACAAAAATTCTCATTCCTCTTATGTGGATTTCATAAAAAAATTATCCTGCAACTTTTTGAGTGAAGAAATTTCGAACCACCTGCTTAATAGGAATATAGATCTGACAATTGCATGACACGTAAGTCACGCAGTGACAACCATGTAGGCTACTCATTTCTACAAAATGAATGCTTTCAGAGAAAACAAAAACAACTTCTATCGTATCGCAAGTACTTTGAAGACGTTTTT